CTGAGGACAGATTTGAACTCAGGTCCTCCTAACTCCAGTGCCGGTGCTCTATTCACTATGCCACCTAGCTGCCCCCATTGTTTATTTTTTGTTAGATGACAAATTACTATGTTAGATGATGAGTTCAGTTACCATTTTCATTATTTTATAAGTATTTTTAAAAGCACAGTTCATGATTTTAGTGAACATCACAGAATACAATCAATCAAACATACTACACTTAAAAGATAACAGTTTAAAAGAAGCTACACGGGGGCAGTGAGGTGGCGCAGTGGACAGAGCACCGGCCCTGATGTCAGGAGGACCTGAGTTCAAATCCGACCTCAGACCAAACCCTGACACTGACTGGCTGTGTGACCCTGGGCAAGTCACTTAACCCCAATTGACTAAAAGTAAAAAAATAAAAATAAAAGATAAAAAAATAAAAGAAGCTGCATGATTTTCTACACGGATTACTCATAAAGCAAACATCAAATCACAGAATTTCAGAAGGAAAGGGCTTCAGAGGCCAGACAGTTCAACGCACATGTCCTCCCTCAATATCCCCACAATAGGCCCAGTAAATGGACATCCAATATTTGAATTAAGAATTAAGGGGGCTTTCTGGATCATGACTCTAGTCCTTCAGGTGTTAGCTATCTGGCCTACCTAGCTCAGGGTATTTTTCAATTTGATAAGCATTCTTTTTATGTCTTCATCCAATTCATTGAAAAAAATGTTAATTATTTAAGTTCCACATACTACTGAGTCCAACTTCACATTAAAGATAGCTAAAGTATTCTTAAGTCTGTTTGTGACCAAAGCAATCATTTCATATATCACATTAAAATACCTTGAAAGTGGCTGAATATAACATATTGTATTGGCATGGAACAACAAAGACATAGGTTTTTTAAAAATAAAAATTTAATGGAATAGTTACTAAAGGACTCTTCCAAGGATTATATCATTATTTTTGGTCAAATGAGATAATATTTGTAAAAAGCACTTAGCACAGTGCCTGGCACACAGTAGGCACTATATAAATGCTTATTCTCTTCCTTTTTGTATAAAATTATACACACAAGCTATGTAAATATCTACAGAGGATTTTCTATAACGAAACATTAACTTGGTTTTCTTTTCTACATCAATATAGTCTATGGCATGAACTAAGTTGTTTGGGAGGTGTTTTTTTAACTACCATTCAGGTAGCATTTAGTTCTACTTCAGAAGAAAAGTTTGTTAGCTTTTTCTGGAACTCCCGAGTTAGTCCAAAATCCTCCGAACTTCTGATACAAGGTACATATAATACTGTATGTATTAACTGACTTATCTTTTACAGAAACTGTTGATTAATCAATGTTCTTCCTTAGTCTCCTGTTCATAGGAAAAGTTATTTGAATCATCATTTTATAAATCAGAAAATTGAGACACAAAAAAGTAATTATCAAAAGTATGTACATTGCGGGGCAGCTAAACAGCACAATAGATAGAGTGCTGGGCCTGGAATCAGGAAGAGCCATCTTCATGAGGTCAAAGCTGGCTTCAGACACTTACTAGCTGTGTGACCCTGGGCAAGTCACTTACCCCTGTTTGCCTCAGTTTCCCCATCTGTAAAATGAACTGAAGAAGTAAATGACAAACCACTCCGGTATCTTTGCCAAGAAAACCCCAAATGGGGTCATGAAGAGTCAGACATGACAGAACTAAGTAAATTATGTGACTCAGCCTAGTTATTTTTCCCAATGCCATATCACGAACAAATGGAATAACAGAGAGAAGGTAAGTTTCAGAGCTAAGAAGAAAAGGGCTCAATGCTACCTCTGACACACACTAGCTGTGTAAGGAGGGACAAGTCAAGTTATTCTCTGTGTTATAGGCAACTCCATAAGACTTTAAGTAAAATACAAGATGGCTATAATAGTGGAGGAAGTTTCCACTATGGGATTTCCCTATGCCAATGAATGCCACAAGTCCATACCACTTCCACATCTCCCCACAAAAAATTAAATAAATGAATGTATGTATATACATACACAAATACATTTATATACACACACATACATAAACACAAACATAAATATGCAAAACAATATTCATTAATGCAAACACAAATCATAATTTTTGAAGGTTGTTGACTCATTAATCAAACTGACACCCCACCTCTCCCTCACCCTCACACAAATGAACACACACACACACACACACACACACACACACAGAGTCTTCACAAAGTGGAGAAAAACCCCTTAATTCCAAAATAGCATTTAAAGATCTGAAAATGCTACCTTGGTTGAAAAGTAACAAAATAAGGATTTGCTTCTATTTTGTAATTATTGCTTAATTGTTTCTTGTCATCTACATGAAGGGCAACATATAATCATCTGCTTTATAAAGTAGCCTATATCAGCAAGTGGATTGATGACCAGATGTTAGCAGTAAAAATAAAGTGTGTGTTAGTCATGGTCAAGGATACAGAACCTCAATCTTATATATTTTTAGCTTCACGGGCTGTATCTGAGATTTCTTTACTGCTGACTTAAGTAGAGGCTGGATTTTATAATTACTAAGTACTAAAAGATGTTCTGGAAATGATATCAAGGCTCAACATTTAAAAAGAATTATCTGTTTTCAAAGTTCTATGAAACAAGCCAGGCATTCCCTGCCAAAAAAAAAAAAAGAAAAAGAAAAGAAAGGAAAAAAAACATTGGGGGTGAAACGAAGGAAAGAATGTTCTGTCCACATAGATTTTAAACTATGTTTGTTGGTGTCAAGGCTGGAGGAGGGAAAGTCAGGTAAATGTGTCATCTAGGGGTCTTGAAAACAGACCCATCTCCAAGGAAGGGTTAGGAACTCTTGAAAAGGTTGTGAACCTATGAACAGGAAGAAAGCCCATCACTGAAAGGTAAAGGGTCACAGAGATGATCAAAAGGATTAGAGAAAAGATGAAAGGAACTCTGATGATTTGACCTGGAAAAGAGAAGATCAAAAACAGATTCAGAACTCTTGATCGTATCCACATATTCATTTCATAGATACATGACCCTTTTACTCCACATTGAACCATAAACCATAATAATTTGCATATGATAAAGTTCAAAACAGTGGAGAAACAGAAGAATTAAATGAGAGAGATGAAGAAGGAAGGGAAAATGAACAGGTAATGCCCAGAATTTCAGTTTCACTAGTGATCTGTACCAATGAGGGAGTGCCCACACCAATGATGGACCAGTTGTGGATTTATTGGAATACTGGAGTATACTTGTGGAAAAGATAGAGAAACATGGGCAGTATGATTGGAATAACAGCTAGACCTGTAATTTCACTGGTACAGGAAAATCCCAGGTAAGGAAATGCATGCTACCAATGCAAGGTGACACCTTTTCTGCAATTTATAACCTGAGAGAGTTGTCTAGGGCATGGAGAGTTTAAGTGACTTGGCTAGGATAACAGAGCAAGGGCTTGACCTCAGATCTTCCCGGTTTCAGGTCCAGATCTCTTATCCATTATGCCCTGCTGTGTAGGTAACCAATGGGACAATTGAATGGATCTGGAACTAGTTAAATGTAGGCTCAAAAAGTAGCTTTCCATTCATTCTAGCAGCTTCTTGGCTCATTCTTCATGATTTGTCTTGACTACAATCCCAACCATTCATGATAAGTGGCAACTGCTAAAAAGAAAATAGCAGTTAATGCTTCGATGCCAACATAGCACTGAGTCTGTTGTGGAACACTCCAGGAATCTGCCACTGGCCTTGGGTGATTTCACATTCTTATCAGAGCACTGGATAAAAGCACAAACAGCATGATTATAAAGTAGGTAGATGCCATGAAGCTGGGAGGAATTGCTAACGTAATAGATGATTGAGTCATGATCCAAAAAGATTCTGACAAGTTGGTGAATGGAGCTGAAGCTGATAGCATGAAATTTATTAGGAACAAATGTAAAGTGTAGAGTGTAAGCTCAAGATATCAACTTCCTAAGTATAAGATAGACCCATGGTTATATAGCACTTTGTTTGAAAAGTATCAAAAGGTTTTAGCTGACTATAAGTTCAGTGTGAGTCAAGAGTGTAATAGGACAATCCAAAGAGGTGGAAATTCTATGATTCTGAGTATTTGGTTGTAAAATATCAGTAGGATTAGTAGTGTGGAGTATTTCTCTCCAGAAACATGGTATTATGAAATAAGAGATTCATACCTTTTAAGGACAGTTCACAATAGATAGCTAAGGATACCATCCTTTTCTTGAGAATGAAGGAGCTTGGAGATGGTGGGAGGGCATGGGTTAGAGAGCTGCTAGAGGTAGTGGTAGCACAAAAGTATCAATCATTTTCAGCTTCCAAAATGTCGAGTTTTACCTGACTTTTGCAATGCCCTAATACTGTAGTTTGAAAAGGTCTCAATGGGAATTTTCTGAGACACAGAACTAAGAAATTCAGTAAATATTGATCAGATTAAAAGAGCACTGAATTGGAATTGTGGCACTAACCATTATATATTTGGCTAAGTTTTTATACTTCGGGGTTCCTTGTCAAAAAAAAAAAAGCCAAGATGATAATGTCAAAGACAATGACAACAATGATGATGACTGATGACAATGATGACATCGACTACAACAATGATGATTGATGATGATGATGATGATGACAATGATATCACTGATACTTACATAGCAAGTTACATTTAACAAAGTAATTTCTACAAGTTACCTTTAAGGAAATTTATATGAATTGGACTTCAATGTGTCATATGACCATAAAGCATCACTGAATGAATTTTGTGATTAAAAAAAACCAATTGTCCTCTACCTGAAATAATTATGTATATATTTTATTTTTTTAAATAGATACAATACACACACCATTGAGTCTTGACTGTCATTCAACTTTGGATGCCCCTGTTTTTATAAAAAATTCTATTTACTTATTGTAAACAATTATCATGTATAATAATTCATTTTTATTAGATTATGTCTTTTGATTCCCATGATCAAAGAACAGTTTTGGAAAATTTTACCTTACTCTGAAGCTGTGAAACTTCTCTTGCAAATACACTGTCAATCGTGGCTGGCATCTGCTTATACAATGAATTGGAAAGGTCTGCCTTGATGGTGCCTTTGTACTTTGCCTGGCAAAACAGAAGAAAAAAATAACATTTTTGTCTTCTGCCATAAATATAGAAAGAGGATTAAAAGAGCCATTCTACTGGAATTTAAGTGAAGATCAAAAATTTTAAAAGAAATACTTTCAAGACTTTTAGATACTGAAACTTTTAGGCAAGGTATTAAAAGATGGATGATAATTGAATTCAAGAGACTGTGGAGATAGCTTTGAATGAAGCAAGCAAGGAAGTAAAAATATAGCTATTTCCATTAATTCTCTGCAAGTTTCAAAAAGCAAAATTATCTACGTATCTGCAGATTTAAAGACGTTTGTACATTTTGGATAGTGGTGAAACAAACATCAGAGAAATGGGACATATGAATTTTTGAGAAAGTGAGCTATTAAAATTCACTAGAGAAGACCTAAATACAAAGACCAGGAGAACTAACTGATATAACAACTAATGATTAACTTTCTTCTATCCACAGCTTTTAAAAAATGCTGTTAATTCTCCACATTCAGTGTTTGAGTCTACCAAGGCAGAATGACACCCACTCACATAACTTCCTCTTGGCAAGAGCAGGTAAAATATAAACCCAACAGATTGTCTACTCCCATTTTCTACTCCACAGCAAAATGATTCAGAAGAAAGAAGCAATCCAGATTTTACAAATTTCTTTTAAAATAATCACTTATCACAATAACAAAATCCATTCACTGAAAAAGTACATGGCAAAACAGTTGCATTACAGATGAGGAAGTACTAATCAACAAATATTTATTAACAGCAGCGAGACTGATATAGCATATAAAGTGCTAGACTTGGAATCATGAAGATATGATTTTTGAATTCTGACTCAGAAATTTGGGCAAGTCATTGCCCAAACTCAGTTTCCTCAGTTGTGAAATGGAGTAGAACCTACCTTACAAAGACAATGGGGAATCAAGTGAGATAATATATTTAAAGCAATATATCTAAACCTCAAAGAGCTATATAAATGTTAGATGTTAATATTAAGATTCTACTGAGGTCTATATTCACTACCTCCATTTTTCACTATACACTCAATCCTCAGCTATTCACAATATTCAAATTCCACTTCTTAGTTTTGAATGATTTCCTAAAAACAAAATATTCTGGGTTCTAATACTATTCCTTACTCTGTCGGCAAATGACAGTTGACTAAACTGCCTTTCTCAATGATCTACCTTCCCTTGGCTTCCGTGACACATTATTCCCCGGGTTCTCCTATCTCTCTGACTTTTCCTTCTGTCTCCTTACTATCCTTAATACTCAGCTGATTACACGATAATTTTTTAAATTTATTTAATATTTAAATTTTAATTTAATTTAATTTAATATTTAAAAGGAATAGCAAGTTGTACATGAAAGATTTGCAGTTTCGTATGCAATTATCTTTTTTTATCATATTATTTTATGAAAATGCTTGTTTTACTCCATAAATCAAAAATAAAATAATTTTTTTTAAAATTTGGTCCAGTTTTTTTTTAATTAACTTGCATTTATTAAGCTCCTACTATATATGCATTCTCCAAGGCAGGCACTGTGTCCTCATCTTTTATACATTCCATCCCCTAAATTCACCTCAAAGCCAGTGACTCCCAAATTTAATTCTCTGTACCTAACTTCAATCCAAGCCCCAGACCCACATTTACAACTGTCTGTTCTAGGATGGTGATACAAATTAAAGCAGTTTCCTTTCTGTCATGTTAAATTACATAAAACAAATTAAGGGGGGAAAAAGACTGGTCCTCCCTCTCTTACCCAGGCTGACCAACCATGGGCCTAATCCCAGGGCTGACTGGCACAGAAGCTTGGACCCATTTCATTTCCAACCTGGGCTGGCTGAGCCCTCCTTAGGGCAACTAGTGGGTAGAATTTCAACAGGGAAAGGGAGAGAAGTTATCCCAGGTACATTGAAAAATGTGGGCAAAGGCAGAGAGGTGAATCAGCACAGGGGATATTTGGGAGCCAAAATTTTTTTTGGAGATCAAAATGCCACCTCCTCCCTGAAGCCTTCTCTTATGAGTAGTCATTTTCATCCTAAGGCATAAACATAGCTTTCTATTTTATGACATCATGTAATAGTGTGCATCCATTATCTGTATTGGTATTTTACCCCTCTATTAGACAATGTCCCTGTGGGCAGGAATTGTGTTTTATCTAAACTTTGTAGGTCCCACAGCCCCTAGCACAGAACCCTGCACACAACTGGTGCTTAATGACTGAAGGAATTTCATTCCTTTCCATACTATGCTCCAGAGAAACTAGACAACCCCTATCCTTTTCTTCTCCTGTCTCCTTCCATCTATGTCCGTGTCTTTGCTCATGCAGTCCTGCATACTTGGAATAAAACGGGCCCATTTCTGCCTATTTTTCTTCCTTTTTCTTCACAGCTTAATTCCGCAATTACCATCCCCTTTCCCAATTAAAATGAATCTTTCTTTCCTCGAATTTCTCATAGTACTTTTCTTGGAACTCTCTTTTAAACTTAGCATGTCCTGCCTCCCCCACCCCCAACCCCTTCTGGCCCTATATTTCAGCACATATCATTTCCCCACCATTGAACTGTAAACTTCTTGAGGACAAGAACAATAACATTTTTGTCTCTACATCTCCAGCACAGTACCCAAAGAGCATAGGCTGCCTGCAAGGGTTTGCAGATTTAAGTAGGAAATTTTATGCCAAAGCCTGTGTGTGTGTGTGTGTGTGTGTGTGTGTGTGTGTGTGTGTGTGTGTGTGTGTGTGCATGTAAGTATACATGTGTGTATGTATGTGTATATGTGTGTATGTATATATACATATATATCAACTATATTTTGTCCTTTTCCCTCAGAGTTTGAAACTGTCCCGAAAACATTTATATCCTTTTTCTACTTCAACTTCTGATATCTACAAGTGGAAAATCAATCTAGTCACTATAGTTTACTGTATTGGCCATTCAACCAGTTCATAATTGTTACTTGTTGGGTTCAATAAATATTTGTTGAATTGACTTACATCACATTTGGAAAAAAAAAGTTAAAGACAGTTAAATTTTTATTGATCTGAAGGGATCATATAAAATGTACCAAAATTGATGGATGTGCTTTTTTCAAGCTCATTCACATTGACATTCAATACTTAAAACCATTTAATGAGCTTGTTAAGAAAGGAAATAAGGGAGCATTCACAAAGAGCCGTGTGGCTAATCCATCTGTTCTGTGTCCTGTAGAAATCCAACAGATCACCAGAGTTAGCCTATGTAAATAATAATGGATTTGAGTAAAAATCCCATATTGCTAAGTTATAATATTATGCAGGTCTTTACACAGGCCATTTTCATATCCTTCATAGCACCCAACATTCTCATAATAAATGAATGGACTCTATCGATCTGCTAACATTTTTATCACCTTACAAAAATCTGTTAGGGGCAGCATTGCACAGCAGATGGAGAGCTAGCCTCAGAGAAAAGAGGAAAGAAGACTGGAGTTCAAGTCCAGGCTCTGATACGTATAGGCTAAGTGACCTTGGGCAAATCATGTAACTTCTCATTTCAGTGCTTATGCAATCCTGCGAGACTCCAATATGCAGAGAAGTGCCAATGTGCACTGATAGAGAGAGTCCCCTCATTCAGGAGTCCCCCATGTCTGTGAAATCACCTTTGCTAGAAAATCTGCATTGTCCTCCATTTCCACCTTTCCCCCACCCTAACCTTTCCTAAGATTCTTGAACTAATCATGAGCAATCTTCCAATTAACAATATTTAAAGTCATTTAACAAAAAAGTTTTAAAATTCTTTTTCACAAAAAAAAAAAAAGAATTCAGAGAAACCTGAAAACTAAATGGAAAGAGTCAGGAAAGGGCAGAATTTTTGCAGATATGGTACGTATTGCAAGCTTAAGTGGATTTCCTTTCAAATTGCTGTCCCATTTCTTGTCTAGGTCTTGGGCATCTTCTAATTTGCATGGTCACATTTTCTACAGACTCTTCTACAAAGGTTAAAAAAAAAAGGCAAAATTCAAGGCTCAAAAACAAATTTATACTTCAGTGGATCTCACTGATGTGGATCCTCCCCCTTCCCCAATGATGCCAGTAATATGTTACACTCTCCTCCAAGGTTGCAGATCAAAAATCCAAAAATGCTCATTCATTTTATCCATGGTTCCTCATCAATTTTTTTTTCAAAGAGGATCCACCAAACATGTTGAAGACCATCACAGAATCACATCATACTTCAGCCCTTCAGGGACTATGATGCTAAAGTTCACACCCAGCATGTGGTCATCCCAAATGAGAAAAATCACACTACCTCCTAAAGCAGTCCATTATTCAAATGCATAACTCCTACTGCTAGGAAATGCATTCTTACATCAAGCCCAAATCTGCTTCTTTACACTTCCAACTATTACTTCTAGTGGTCTCTCTGAGAATACATAGAATCAGAAGACGTGGGTTCAAATTTCAGTTCTTCTACTTACTCCTTGTGTAATCATAAGCAAGTCATATCACTAAGCCTCAGTTTCCTTATCTTTAAAATGAGTTATGCAAATGAAGTTATGTATATGAAGAATGAACTGCTTTGGGATATAGTGTGATTCTTCTCACTTAGGGTGACCACATGGAGCATACCATCTGTCAGAGAGGGGATTCTTTTTCAGGGAGGGACCAGTGGATAGCCACCAAAGTCCCTTCTGATGCTGTGATTCCGTGAACTTTAGCATTATAGTCTCTGAACGGTTGAAATATGAAGTGATTCTGCAATAACCTTCAGCATGTTCCATGGATCCCCTTTGGAAGAAAGAATGATGAGAGGTCACAGCTAAAAGTCATGCACAATGAATAAGCATTTTGGGATTTGACTTACACCATTGGGGGAGGGTACAGAATATCATGAATCATGACTTATGTATAAGAAGTGCCATGAGATATCCTCAAGGGAAGTCTTTAAGGGCTGGAAAAGGAAGCGTGTTAATCATGTAGCAAGAATAGAAAGAAGAAACAAACAAACCAAATAGTTGGACCTCCTGAGTGCTGTATTTATATTCAACAAATACTAAAAGATCTAGAGGAATCCCTGAAGCTCACTGTGTAGATTCTATGGTGGACTAGGTAGCACAGTAGCTAGAATGCTCAAATTAGAGTCAAGAAGACTCAAGTTCAAATCTTGCCTTAGACACCTACTAGCTATGTGACTCTGGACTAATCACTTAACCTCTGATAACCTCAGTTTCCTCATCTGGAAAATGAGGGGATTGATCTTGGTGGTCCTGAAAGTTCTTTACTGTTCTAAATATATGACCCTATAAGAATTATTTGGTAAGAGGACATGGATGGATTGTGATCTAACAAATGTATACATTTCTTATACATCACTTCAGGAAGCATGATGCATATATGAGTCCTTAATAAAAAAATCAATATCATTAGAATGGAAAAAAATATGTCTAGCATATTTTTTCATTGTCCACTGACAATTTCTACCAGTAGGTAACAATATGCAATTATCACTGTAAAGTGGTAACAATGATTACTATTTCTCAGAGCATCTTACAATTAATAATTAAAATAAATTAGCTGCATATTTGCCAACTACATTAATCCTACACTCATTATTTAAAAAATTTAAATGCTTTTAACACATATTCAGTATGAAGCGTATCTATCTTTTGACATTGTCCTACAGAGCAACAAACCAGTAATTACAATGCACTTGGAAACGTAAATTAATAAATAATGAGTCCTAACATAGTTACTTTAGTAATTCAATATAAAATCTCAGAAGTACTATTCAAATTAATATTAACATATTAACACAAATTACAAGCCTTTAATAGAAAGTTAATCTGATTTTTTCCAAGTATATTACTCAACTTACATGCTTATAGGCATAAAACATTTTTAAAGTGTCCATTGTCTTACCTCAGAAATAAAAGCACCTATATGTTTTACATGGTTTAGCAGAGGGGTGTCAGGCACAAATGTACATTTGCCTTTTGACTTTTTATACTCTCCTCTATAATGGATCTAAAAAAAGAAAGAAAGCAATATGTTTGACCTTAAAGAGGAAAAAAACACATTTTTTATCATATATTCTTTAACAAAACTGGTAAGAAACTTTTTTTTAATTTCCCAAAGAGCACCCTCCCTGCCACATGCATAAGGATGACTGGAATTACTATGACCAAGAACTACAAAAAAACCTGAGAAATCAAGTGAAAACTCTTCATTTTATAGTTGAGAACACCAGGTAGTATACTACACTGTCCTGGTCGAATATGCAACAATCCTTATGGCAAACAATTAAAAAGAACACTAATGCCTAGGAACTGGAAGTCGTCCTGAAGAGCAATAAGAAAACCCTTATGATGTTTGTGTATATGCATATACGTATACATACACACAGAGAAATTAATTTCATAATTAAATATTGATTAAACATCCAGTATTTGCTTAGGCACAAGGAAATATGACAATATGACAGAGATAAACTGGTTCTGTGATTGCAATGATATAGTGAACTCCCTGATGAGAAAATTTCTGTCAATGGAGGTCCCCAGCTTCTTTACTACTTCTTAGAGAGCTGTCTTAAGCACCAATTAGTTATGTGACTTTCCCAGAGTCACACCACCAATATGTTTAAGAAGATGACCTGGAACTCAGATCTCCCTGGATCCAAGCCTAGTTCTCTATTCACTATACTATGCTTGCCTCTCATTCACTTGGGGTTAGAAAGATTTCAAATGGCATGTTCTCCAGGAATTTACAATCTAGCAGAGGTAAATGAGATACGTACCAAAAAAACAAAACAAAACAAACAAAAAAAACCTTCCAGTTAAGCTATAATTAAGTGCATAGCCAAACAAAATGCTATAAAACATCTAAGATGAGAGGGATTATTTCTAGTTAGGGGACAGGGAAGATCAGGGAAGGCTTCATGGAAGAATCAGGTTCTAAGGCAAGTCTTGAAGGCATATAAAAACAATGCATAAGGCACAGAGAAGGAGAGACAAAGAATTCTTTCCTAGAATGGAAGAAGGCTTATATATCAATGGCAGCAGGAAAAGAGAGGAAAATATCAGGGTACATAAAATAGTCCAGGGTTGATAGAATATTCCAGTGTACATGAAGGGACAAGTGTAAAATAATACTAGAAAGGTAGGTAGGAATCAGATTTTGGCGAGCTTTGAATGGCAAAGGAGTGTATACTATATCTGATCATGGAGAACCAGTGAGAGTTTTAAAGCAGAGTAATGATGTGACATATACATTAGGAAAGCCATTTGGGCAGCTGAATGAAGGAACGGTTGTATTTAGATAAGAAATCTGTTTTCTCTAATGGTCAGCATAATAAGGGATAATATAACACATTTTTGTGCAACATCACACCAAATACAACAAGACTGGTGCTAGGGAATAAGACTGTGACCTGATTCATGGAATAATCACGTTAGCAAGGCCTTTTGTCTAATGCAGCTTTATTCCAGGGACATGAATTAACCAATAGTGTAGCCAAATCTGAGTAACAGCAAATCATGTCAGAGCAGGCATCTCAACTATGCAATGATTCCTAAAGACAATTAAGTCCATGAGCAATTGGCATCTATCTTAAGTTTTAGATGTTAAGCCTACCCCTTTATTGTTTGAAAAAGCCTAGAATTTAAGTATTTGTCAAACAAATGTCTCCCTTTCTCCTCAGACATTAGATATAAATTTGGGATTTGGGGGAACCATTTAACTCAGTAATCAAAGCAATGATGATGATATAATAAACAATATTACTTGGGTACGTTCAAAAAAGAGAGAAAATGTGAGTGTTCCCGTTATATAACTAAGTGACAGCAAAATGACCTGTGATAATGATGAGGCAAATGCTTGACTCATTATTTTTAATCTCGTACCACCACCTTTTTCTCATCACTTTCACATTCTTCACTGTAGTGTTGTACGCAGTTAAGGAGTGTAGGCCTCCTGATAAGCACTGACATAAGTAACTTGTTCAGGACATGAGTACTAGAAAAAGGGTTAAATATTTAACTTCTTTCTCTGTTGAACTGACAAACAGAAAAGACAGGGTTCATGCACACCCTCATGCTCTCTCCCTCTCCTCTTTCTTTCTTTCCCTCTCTTTTCCCCCATGTTTTAAAAGCTGTTTATTTGAAACAATGTTGCTGTTACTGTATCAACATTCTCTTGATTCTGCTCATTTTGCTCATTATTTCATGCAAGTCTATTCATGTTTTTCTACAATCAAGAAGCTCACCATTTCTTACTGCACAGTAGTATTCTATTACTATCATATACCACAGCTTGTTCAGCTACTCCCCAGCTGATGGGTATCCCTGAAATTTCCAGTCATGTTGGCTATTATAAATACCCAAATTAACTATAAAGGACCTATGAAAGAAGATGCTATCTGCATCCAGAGAAAGAACTGATAAAATACAAGTATGCATAGGATGATTTTTCACACACACATATATATATATATATGTATATATATATATATGTATGTATATATAGTGCACACACACATATATGTGTCTAACGACAGCCATCTCTATGGTGGGGAGGGGAGAAAAGAAACTCATATGATAACTTTATTATATATTTAAAAGGAATAGCAAGTTGTACATAATAGATATGTAGTTTCAAGTGCAATCATCCTTTTTTTATTCTACTATGTTATGTAAATGCTTACTTTTTCATAAATTAAAAAGAAAAAAGTGGCTTATAAAAAAGTATTTCTAATTTTATGGTTCCCACCAAATTTTTTTCCATTAAAATGACAAGGAAATAATTCCCATTTTTTACATGGTTTACCCATGACATTAGTATTATTTTTGCGCCAGAATTAGTGAAATTTCCTTGGCTCTAAGTTCAAACTTTTATTTCCAAGGTAAAATAGTGAAAACTTATACTTTGTATAACAAGGAGAACATTTCATTTCTACAGGCACAGTAAGCAGTAGTGGTAGCAGCAGCAGCAGCAGCAGTAGTAGCAGTAGTGGTAGTAGCAGCAGCGGCAGCGGCAGTAACGTGCTTACTTTCTTTCCTCTTATAAGGAAAGGAAATGGGCATTGGCATGTGAGATGTTGCATTTTTAATAACCTAGACCTATGATATCATCAGTATAAAGAATAACTAGTCATTTTGGTCTAAAAGATATTTGATTGAATTTTTTTAATTGAGCTGACTAGTTACTGACTGAACTAATGGAATTAATATTTCCCAGAAAAGGGCATTTGAACCTATAATTCACTACCACCTTTTTAAAAAATAAAACATTATCATGCAGAGAAAAAAAATTAAATATATAAAACATAAATAACAAGAAAATTCAAAGAGCATCAGAGATCAAGCCCAGAGCAGAAATTAGGTAGGCAAAGAAGAATATAAGAAGCACCTTATAAGAAACCCTAAACGTAACGAGAAAAGGATTTTTAAATACATCCAAAGAAGGAAACCAAATGAATAATCAATGGGACCATTTGACATGGCCATTCAAAATGTTCACAGATGAATGTAAAATAATACCAAAACTAAATTAATTTTTTGTTCTAATCTTTATGGAAGAAGTTCTTGGAAATTTTTTATTGCCTTTTTTTAAGTGTTAGTAAACAATCCAGAAATAATAAACATGAATACCAGAAGATGTTCAGGATGTTCAAGACCTTACTTATAAACTATATGTAAATCAATTACTTGGATTCCATGGAATAAGTTAATGGATCAATCATTTTATTAGTATGATCACCCAATCCAACAATACAGATTCCTGCTCCTTTATGTCTTCCTATCCTACGTATAACACATCAGAGGACTTTGAAGAAAAGCAAAGATAGAACTGTTAGTTTATAGTTGCAAATGGTCTCTGCCTGTGAACTCTCATCCATAAAAGGCTTCCAGAATGTCTGCTGGAAACTTCAGAATAATGAGGATATCAGATAAATTGGTGAAGTTCTATAATAAAGGATAGGATGGCTGAATATTTAAGGAACATTAAACATGCTCTACTGGGACAAAGACAAAATTATATCTGTAAGGTTAAAATCATGCATGAGCTATCTTTTGCATCTACTTGAGGTAAATAAGAATCAAGGAAGAACAATGTAATTTTTTTTTCACTTTCAAAAAAACTTTGACTCAGTTCCACATTAATTTTTTAAACTGAGCCACCCTATAGGATTAGAAACTGACAAATATAATAAACAGAGACACATATCAAGAAAGAGTATTTTAACTAATGGAACCCCACAGTAATTCAGAAAACCTTTGTTTAAAGCGACATAAGAAACCATCTAATCTAAAGTGATTCATTCTTTTAAAAAGAAAGGTATTGAGTGCTAACTTTGGATAAGACACTCTGGTAGGCATGATAGAGGCTATATGAATTCATATGCAATCCTAGCACAGTACATGGAAATGTATCAGATTTGGGACCAGAAGACATAAATTTTAAAGCCCAGCTCTAAAACTCACTACTTGTGTGACCCTGGGAAACAAATTTAACATTCTTTGGACCTCTCATTCTTCATCTATAAAATGACTTCTTGTTCAGTCATTTTTCAGTTGTTTCTGACTCTTTGTGACCCCATTTGGGGTTTTCTTGGCAAAGACACTGGAGTAGTTTGCCACTAGCTTCTCTAGCTCATTTTACAGATGAGGAAACTGAGGCAAACAGCATGAAGTGACTTGCCCGGAGTCACACAGCTAGTAAGTGTCTATGGCCAAATTTGAACTCCAGAGTCTTCCTGACTCCAGGCCCGGCATTCTATCCACTGCACCACCTAGTTGTTCCATAAAATGACTAGATGACCTCTAAGAGCCCTTCTAATATTATAGTTTACAATCCTATGCTATTTCTCCACATAAAACAAAGCATCTATTCAAGGAGAGAAGATAAAGACAAATTATGATAGTATAAGATAGAATGTGATGAGTGGCACAGAGAAGGGCAAACCATGAGCTTTGGGAACCCTAAATTGGTCTTAGGATCAGCTTTCAGTACCAATTTTATTAATGATGCAGAAGGAGGAACACACAGTGAAATTATCAAGTTAACAATTGCCTTTCAAGTCTTACAGGCTCTGAAATATCAGCCTGATAGAGATAAACTACAAGATGAGCTTGCAAAGACATGTGAGTGAGCAGAAAAGTGAGCTTCCACGTTGGTGAGCTCTAAAATAATGTAGAACATACTTAAAACAAGATGGATTTTTGCACTATTACAACTCAGGGAAGTAACTGGAGAATTACTATCAACAATAACCTGAAGATATTAACCAGATTTGCTTCTGCAGGTAAAGAACCTGACAAAATGGTAGTCATCATTAGGAATGGGACTGCCAAAAAAACCACACTTTTGCACAGTGCATGGGTGCAACAACACCTGGGGTAGTATGTACAGTTCATTAAATGTATGAACAAATGATTTTCATCTAATATATAATATCTACTATCTGGTATTTGGGAAGATTTTAAAGATCGTTCCTTCAATCAAATAATTTCTTCTACATTGCTTCTTACCAAACCTCAAAGAAGATACAGAGCTTATCAGAATCTAGAGAAAGACAAATAAAGTGACTGAGATAAAAAGGGTGGCTTTATGATACCAGAAGCAAAATGAAAATGAAGACTGCTCAGTCTGAAAACCCAGAAGCTAAGGGAATATCATCAGTATCTGGAAAATAATGAAAGGAATGGATAGGGTCAATATTTTGTTCATTAAATCCAAGGATGCCAGAATTTGTGTGATATGATAATCAGAATCATGAGGTTTAGAGTGAGAAGGGGTCATAGATGACAAGTCTAGAGCTGAAAGGGACTTCAGACCTTTTCTTGTTCCACACCTTCATTTTAGAGGTGAGGAAACTGAATACTCAATTCCTTCATTTATAAAATGGAGTAAATGACATATTGGGGCAGCTAGGCGGCACAGGGGATAGAGTGCTAGGCCTGGAGTCAAGAAGACTCACCTTCCTGACCTCAAACACTTACTAGCTGTGTGACCCTGGATAAATCACTTAACTGTGTTTGCTTCAGTTTCCTCATCTGTCAAATGAGCTGGGGAAGGAAATGTCAAACCACTGCAGTATCTTTGCCAAGAAAACCTCAAATGGGGTTATGGAGAGTCAGACATGACTTAAAAAGACTAAATAACAACTAGATAACATAAAAGGTCCCTTACAGTTCTAGAGCAATGTATGACCAAGGTCACACAGGTAGTATGGGACAGAGCTAGGACTGAAACTCTTTTTCTGTTGTTGATCTCAGGGCTCTTTGGATCATACAAAGCCATCTCACCATTCAGTCTAAACCCACTATTTTTAGAAGAAACAAAGGCCCACAGTCCTGAAATTACTTGGCCATGTTTACACAGGTTTTTGGTAGAAGAGTTGGGATTCAAACCCAGTCCTTGGACTTCTAATCCACTACAGGTCTCCTACCTAGGCTATCCCCCTCCTCTTGAATCTTAGCAGTCTTACCTAATATGACAGGAAGTAAAGTTAAGGAGGTAATTACTCTAGGAGGTGGACAGACTAAAAACAAATACCTTCACAAAGATTTAGACTAATTCATGGATGGCATCACAACTTACAACAAACTAGGATGTTGGAATGTCTACACTTAAACCCTGAAGCTGCCGTCGGGAAAGACTACCATGTCCTCCTATGTGATGATCCTTTGGCCCCACTTCCACACATTGGGTAGCCTACACAATAATTCTCACTCAGAGTGATAATGTTTATGTTTTTATGGCCATTTTGGTAAAATGATGTTGTAGCCATTCCTTCAAGTAGACTACAATCTAGTAATGGGCATAAGTAACTAGTTACTGTATCACAAAGTGTTGTACCGAGAAATCAGCGAGTGAGACCCAGACGTGATTTACGATGTGGACTTTATTAGCATGCGGCTGCAAGGGGTATGCACATCCAAATCAAGCAGCCCCCATCAGGGGTCGAGCTAGGGTTTATATAGAAAAGAGCATGGGAAAGAAATGCGAGGAACACTGATGAGGTAATCCAAAGATGTAGGTGTCTTTGGGGGCTATGGATGGGAAAGTACAGGGCAGGGAGGGGGATGGATCTTTACAGTCTGGCAGGAGGAAGAGTCCTTGGGCTGGTCAAGGACACCCCTCTCTCTCTGTCTTGATGAGAGAATGCTCTGCAACAAGGGAAAGCTTTCTCACAACACAGGAACTTATTGAGGAATTGGGAGGCTTCCAGAGACATGATCTGAGGGCTGGGGCCTGAGCAGCCTAGCTCTGTATAGCTGTACCAGGGAGAGAGATAAGGGTCATGCTGAGGCCCGTGCATGAATACTGCTAGGCACAGTGTCCTTGGGCTGGGGAATGGTTGTTAGAGACAGTGTTTCTGGGACTAGGGAGACATTTGGGGCACAAGTATAAGCACAAGCACCCGAGCACCCCAACATTACAGGTCAGGGATCACACAAACCAGACCAGGTGTCCTGATCTCTGGTATAAATGTAATTATCTAAAGCAATTATAATGCAAGCTTTCTTAGCCATTTGCGTTGGAGGTACGGGCGATGCTGAGCTATGCAAGAGTACATTTCACTATTGTTTAGATTTAGGAGGAAAGAGGTCTGGGACAAGATTAAGCACCAACTTTTGCTTTCCATGGCTTAAAGGGCCCTACTACCTAAATGGTAAAATAATGTTCTGTATTACAAAAGTAGACTAAATAGATACTGGAAAGGTCATTTAAGGTCTTCTACAATGGAGCACCATGAAGAATTTTTAATAGAGGGTTCCATCATCTGAACTAGAACAATTATTCTAGCAATGATAATTAATATTAATAATAATAGCTAACATTTACATAGCACCTACTACATAAGCACTTTACAAATATCTCATTTCATAAGGTATTAAATGAAATAAAAGAGGAAGAAGACAAAATCAGGGAGATCAGTAGATTACAATCAATTATTAAACTGCAATGGTTTTAGGATTAATATCCATCTCAATCACAATATAGTTTGCTACAGGGTTTCTGAGTTAAAAATTTTAATAGTATTTCTGGCTGTATGAAATATAATGAGAAAAAAATATTAAATTTCAAGGCTTTGGGTAGTAAGGCAAATCTAGTATAAAGAGGAATTCAGAACACCCATCCACATTGGCCATTACTCTTGTGGTCTCTCTGAAATACCAGAAAGCAGTACAAAACCATACACATAAACTCCTTCTAGAGTTGTTTCTTAAGTAATTTATAATATTTGATCTTTTGAGAAGAAACAAAAAAGCAGAGAATTCCCTGATGCTTTTCATCATTTTAAAAACAAAAGGAAAGCAAGCAAAATAAAAATCAATCCAAACCCTGGCCAAACCAAACAAATGAAACAATGGGCTGTCATCTCTTTCTGTTCTAAGTGAAGCAACACCCATTTAAGCACTTGAAATGTGCCATCTTCCCTCTGCTCCAGCAACAACACTCTCTAGTATTGTGTAAATGAGGGTCAGCAATGCCTTCTCTGTGTCTTCTAGATTTTCTGCAGCAATTCCAGTGAAACAATACAATGAAAATGTTATAGCATGAGGTGAATTAACCTTCTGGGCCACCAACTAGCACCGAACAAACTTCAGAACAAAATGCTTCCCCTCCGATTTTGGCTCTGGAGTTTCATCACTTAGCTGAAACTCCTCCCAAAAGAAATAATACAGTACTTATGAAACAAATCCTATTCCTTAAAAAGAAATGTACTCTAAAGCTCAATGTGCATTATTTCATCCAGAATTGTAGGATGGCATGGAGAAAGAAAACCATACTGGGTAAGAATGAGCAGACTCAGGCTCTGTTCTTAATTCTGCCACTAACTAGGATCATAACATTGAACATGGCTTTACCCCTCTTTCAGCCTGTTTCCCCATCTGCAAAAATGGCAAAGCTAAATAAATGATCTCAAAAGTCACCAAGTCATTGCAAGCTCTAAAACTATGATATAATACCATGCAGGCTACAAATTCAATAAAATGCTTCATTTACTCACATCACTAATTAGCTCGGTACATTTTCTAGCCAACTCCATGTTTAGGTCTTCAATGACAGGTTTAAGGAATACCTGTACCCCTCCCCAAAAAAAAAGGAGAGAGAGAGAAGGGGAGAATAAATCCAACATCACTCAACTTGTAAAATGCAAAACAGTTCTTTAATGGAGCACTCTTGGAAATGAGTAAGTGGTACTCACCTTTTCTTCTTCATCTTCTGCATCTTCTTCCCCAGATTTCTTCTCTCCTTCACTTTCATCTTTGCAATCCTCAAAGACGGGAACTCTCATGTTGGCTGTTTCTGAAAAATTCCTTCAAAATTTTAAAATCTGCCAGTATAACCGTTTTTATGTATGAGAGCTTCCTGGAGATCTCAGTGACTGTTTTTCTGCACTTCATTTAACCTTTCCAAGGCCTCTTCCTTATTTAGCTTACACTTGACATCCTTTATCTCAATTGGCCATGAGGGAACAGAAAGGCATCATGGACAATTTGCCAGCTACAATCCTCAGGAACAGTAATAATTTTTAACTTATAAAATTCAATTGTCTGATCTTTTATAGTCAACTTTCTTTAAATTAGTTAAGAAATTCAAAAGAAGAGATTAAGTTATAGCTCTAAAATTGAATCCTTGGAAACAAAGAGACCATTCATAAAACTAACAGGTTGAAAGGGTCAGAGGGACTTAAAAGATTATGAGAAAACTGCCCAGTTATAACACTTAAGATATGGCAAGCCTAAAGCGTGTTATCTTGAAGCTTCTCCAACCTTATCTAAATCAGGCTTTCCCTTAAATGTCAGGCATACTTCTACTTTGGGGCTGGAAGGGAAGGGGGTGTGAGGGGAAGGGTTTAGAAAGTTTTCACTAAATTCAATTTAAGAGGGAGGAATGTCTCCTTGGGAATTTTAGTTAACAGCCACAGTCTAGAGATCATTTTCTAAAAAGGCCCACTTTTAGAAACTGATTAAAGCCATGTAAAGTTGGTGTTGGGGTGTGTGTGTGTGTGTGTGTGTGTGTGTGTGTGTGTGTATGTGTGTGTGTGTGTGTGTGTGTGTGTGTGTGTGTGTGTGTAAGGACATTTGCTTCCATAGGTAAGTCAAAGCAATCTGTTTTCCTAAAAACCATTCTTACTCCCAAAATAAAGATTCATGCAGAATGTTTTTCAGAAGACAAAGCTATCTGATTTGTCTTCCATAATCCAAGGTCACTTGGGGGACAAGCCCAGACTGGTCATGCTTCTTTCCCAACTGGGCTTCTGACTCCACTAATTTTGCCACCATCCCTTGTCAGCGGTATCCCTGCCCCACCCCCCACAAGCCTGCTTTCAGGTACCCTTTTATGTGCTGCCTTCCCTAATTAGAAGAAATTGTCTTTCTTTCTGCTTGTATCTGTATCTCTGACACCAGCTCAGTACCTAGCACCCACTGAGTGCCTGAATGATTCTTGCCTTGCTTACTGTCTTTACATATTTATACGTTGTCTACCTTGTTAGACCATCAATCACAAAATCAAAGCGATGTACAGCTAGAGGGGACTTTGGTATCCTTTTATAGTAGCCCCATTTTACAAATGAGGAAGCAATAATTAATGCCTTTTGAGATCATTTAGTAGCTTTGCCATTTTTACAGATGGGGAAACTGAGGCTGAAAGAGAGGTAATGACCTGTTCAAATTTATGATCCTAGTTAGTGGCAGAATTAAGACAAGAGCCTAAGTCTGCTCATTCTTACCTAAATTGCTTAATTACTAAATTGCTTGATGGCAAAGCTGAAATTGGAATTCATTGCTTCTTCTACCATACCATTGTAGTTTCAGTTGGAAGGAAGGAAGGAAGGAAGGAAGGAAGGAAGGAAGGAAGGAAGGAAGGAAGGAAGGAAGGAAGGAAGGAAGGAAGGAAGGAAGGAAGGAAGGAAGGAAGGAAGGAAGGAAGGAAGGAAGGAAGGAAGGAAGGAAGGAAGGAAGGGAGGGAGGGAGGGAGGGAGGGAGGGAGGAAGGGAGGAAGGAAGGGAGGGAGGAAGGAAGACAGAGAGAGAAAGAAATTAAATCTGGTATATATAAAAATTCCAAATGCCTCATTCTTTCTTCAATCACTGATACCAGAAAAGGAAAATTGAGAGTCAAAACCAAAATGCAACTTAAGATTTTCTTAATAAATAATATTCAGTTTACTCGCTTCTAAAACTAAGAGAAGAAAGGATGGGAAGATTGAGAGGCACATTGGCATAGTCAGTGACTTGGGAGTCAGGAAGATCTGAATTCAAAACCAGCTTTTAACCCTTACTGGTTACATGTCCATAGGTAAGTCACTTACCCTCTGGAAGCTTAATCTCCTTTGCTGTAAATGGCAGTGATGATAGCTATACTACCTACTTCACAAAAGTGCTGTAAGGTTCAAATAAAACAAGACTTTAAAACTTTAAAAGTTCTATAAGCCAGTGATTATTATAAAATGTACTGAATTAAATACAAAAGAAAAATCCCAACATTACTTTAGTTCCATATTATGTTGCATTTTGGGAAGAGATCCCAGTGTCTTGCAGAAGGAAAGGGAATGGGAAAAGGGGTTGAAGGGAAAGGCAAAAAGAATAGAATTTAGAAAGTAGAGGGAGAGACCAAGAAAAGAAAAAAAGAAGAGAAATAAAATACCATAGGTGAAGTAATTGGTTAGCACTTGATTATACTTTTATGTTGGCAAATACTGGTTAACTGATTAAGACTTGAATATTTTTGAACGGCATAAACAAAGTGTTATACAATGACAGAAATTATTCTCTTTGTTTCCTCAGCAACATAACCCTCGGAGTCAGAGCTGCTCCTCTGATCCCTATGGACAGAGGATAGCACAGAGCTTGCCCTTCTTTGATGCACAGGAGCATCTCAACAGACGAGATGAGAGGATAATATAGGGATAGGTAATCAATAGTATGACAAAAATCATGGCAGTGGCAAAGCATGGGACTTACATCAAGTAGTCCAGTTTGGCCAAAGACTAGACTATGTGGAGAGGAAGAGAGACAGGTGAGACTGGAAAAGGCATGATGGAGGAACATCCCAAAGTGCTTTAAATGTCAGGTTTTACTCTATTTGGGACGCAAGGTTTGGGAAGACAAGGGGGCATTCCAAGATTTCAGATGTGGGAATAAAGTAATCAGAACCAAGTATTGGAATGATTTCTCTTAAACCAGAGCACAAGTTGGGATGAAACAAGAGACTGCAGGTACAAAGATCAGTTGATGTTATTGGAATAAACCAGGCAAAAGGTTTAAAAGAACACTATGTGAATCCCTGCCAATGGCAGTGCTCAAGGAAGAAAAACAGGTTTGAATTTAAGGGACTTGGATACAAATCCTATCTCTGCCACTTTACTGTCTCGTATAACTTTGTATATGTCACTTTACCTCAGTAAGCCTCAGTTTCCTCATCCGTAAGATGAAGGAAATGGGCTAAATAATCTCTACAGTCTAAACTTATGATTCCTGTTCCAAGTACTTGAAAACTAGAGAAATCCAAAGAATAATAGTTTCAGTTTAGTAGTTACAGAGCTTCGTGTACCTTTGCCAGATACAGTACTGGAAAAGAATTTTATTTCACAAAATGATCCCTCATCTTACCATCAAGATGATGCCAAGTGCAACACTGTTGAAGAGAGGGCACTGAATCTGAAGCCTTAAGACCTAATTTCTAGCTCTACTTTCTCTCTCAGAAATGATACCTTTTATTTATAAAATAATTTACAAAGGGTATTCACATACTTTCTTTAATTTGATCCTTTCAACGAGCCTGTGGGCTAGGTAATGAACAACAGGTATTGCTAATCCAGATTTACAGATAAATAAAATGAGAAATCAGAGATGGTGAGGGAGTCACCAAAGGTGAGTCTTCACCATTCCCTTCAAAGCTCCTGACTAATTTACTATTCAACAGTTTGCCTTCATGTAGCTCTTCAAGGTTTAGAAAACACTTGGCACAGATTACATCACTGGACCCAGTGACCCCAGAGGTAAAGCAGGTATGATTAGCTGCATTTTATACATGAGGAATCTGAGACTCAGAGAAGCTGTGACTTGTCCCAAGTCACACGTTTAACTCGAGAACCATGTTTCACATCCATGTCATTTGAATCTCAGTCTGATGTTCACCTTCTGCACTATAATCCCACCCTTCCTATTACAGATCAGTAACAGTTGTGGAAAGAGGGAAGCCAAGATGAGAAAAAAAGTTTTGACTTCCTCTTCTCCTTCAAATGACTAGCAGTTAAGGCAGAGAGCCATTCCAAAATTCTGAGAGGTGTAATTCAACATTTTATGGTACTATACCATTTGCAACCAATACGGTGAGGAGAAAGCCTATTATACATACTACACAATCTCCTTCTGCATTCAAGGAGGACAGTTTTTTGATGTTTCTAATATTTGACATAATGAATTAATTGGAACAGCAGGCCGCCCAATCAATACATTCTTACTGAGTATCCACCATGCTTCTAAAAAGCACAAGAAATTAAGAATCACGGCCTGAAAAACCTAGGCTCTTTCTTTTCAAGATATGCACCAGAAATAATCCAAGATAGGGACAGTACCTTTTGAGGTCACCAGGTTTAATCCTTTCATTCAGAGAGAAGGGGAGGGGGGAATGTGACTAATACAGTGGCAGAACGACCACTAGAACTCAGATTTCCTAAACAAATCTCACACTCTCTATATAAAGCCAGGTTGCCTCATGTCAAAATTTGATTTCACAGGTTCTTAGAAGCAAGGAGATTATCTTAGAGAAATTCATTGTCACTAGTTCACAAATAAAACCTTATTAGACTGACCTGTTTACATGGAATTTGACAACTTAAAGCCACAGTTACTTGTGATTTAAGATAGCTACATTCCTTTTCTCTATAAAAATTTTTACACAATTCTGATCAATGTCCCTCTAAAAGGGGGAAAAAATAACATGATGTGGTATGTTGCAGCACAGCTCTCTTGCCAACACTCCAAAGATCTGTTTCAAGGAATAAGAAGAGAGTATTCTCAATGGATAATTATCTTGTTTCAGAATTTCCTCTCAAACTTGTTTCCTTCTCCATTTTTTAAAAAGTTCAACATCACAGTGTGATACACATTTTCTAACATTTCCCAAGAAGGGAATAACCTTGCTAGATTTTTCCCCAATCTCTTTAACTTATTGAGGATTTTCGTTCATGTTGTAAGATATTTTTTTTCAAAAAATTTATTTTGGTTTATTCCTGAAGAAATAGGGGTACTGCTAAGGACCTAAACACTGAGGTCTAATGGGAAAGACCTCAGTATCCAGCACCCAGGTGAGTCTGGGCAAATTATTTTTGTACCATTTGACCTTTCCTACAGCAAATCATACTCAGTTTTTCAATTTTATAAAATGACAATATTTGTCTATGTCATATAAATTTTTTAAGACTTAATAAATAGCTTTAAAAAAACAAAGTACCATCCCAATGTAGGACATTAATTCCCCAATAAAAGACTTACTAGTAACTGTACAAATAGGCACAGATGATGAAGAAATGGGTAATATAATGTAATCAGTCTTCCACTTCACCCTCTTTCCCACAAGGCA